CATACTACTCTAAAGACCCTGTACAGACTGCCTCATGTCAGGCTCGAAGTGAGGATGTGATGTCAATTCAATTCAAGTCTAGGGTTATAATTTCCCTGAATTCTTCCTTCAATAAGTTCCATAAAATAATTTTAATGATATTCAACAGGCTGATAATGTGATGACTATTTGTGGCGTATGTAATGTAATTCACGCGCATGATATTTTGATGGGATGGGATGGGATGGGACGGGACGGGACGGGGAATGGAATGGGAGTGAGCAATACTGAAGGAAAGTGTGGGACAAATATCACTTCAGAATAAAGAGTGGTTATATAAATAATTTTTAAACTATTACATCTGGTGTGTTTTATGTCAAGTTGTATTTTTTCTGGATTGGCTATAGCAAGCCATACGGCTAATTTAAAAAAAAAAAAAAAAAAAATCATGTACTTTTAACTTTATATTCTTTAATAAAAGCCTCAGTGTTGAAGTAATTTTGTTTTTGTCTGTCTGTGCAGATTTATCTTTATAGACCTGTACATGTGTTAAGTTGTGAGAAAATGCATGTATAGGCTGCCACCATCACACTGCGCAAATATACAAGGGCTTCTGTGGTATGTGAAGGGTTGGTGTTATCTACCATCCTGAGTCATGGAAATAGATATGCTAGGGCATTACAGCAAGTCTCAGAAGTATTGGGGCAGCCAATTTGCAAACTCGCTAGCGAATTGGTTAACTGCTTGGGTTTTGACTAAACGGTTGGCTTTCGAATCTCGCTGGCGCCGGTTTGTGATCACGTCCACTCTTGGCGAGTCTATATTGCATTAGGATGCAATGTTTTTACGCATTCTCGGGCTGGTACATGTCTGGATTCCCCTGAATGATTTGAGCTGAAAATGGCCACATTCAGCTGGCGTGATAATATTATAAATGTGAATAATCTACCGATATTTATTATATGAGGTTAACCTTCTTGAACACTGCTTGACACTCAAACGATCCGTTGGGGTAACATTAAGCC